TTTTTTTTTTTTTTTTTTTTGTATTTTGACTACCATCATTCCAAACATTGAGAAACTGATATTGTCCCTTTAATTTTCTTTGTATGCTTTATTTTATGAAACTTAAATTTTAAGGTCCACCTCTTAGTCCTGCCAAGTGACTCTAGTCTGTCCAACAGAGTTCAAAACTTGGGCAATAATTAAGTAAAAGGGAGATTCTGATGCAACAAATGGTGAAACACTCCCAGAGCCCCACAGAGTGGTGTCCTTCCCTGCTTTTTACCACATGGTACTGTGCAGTAGGTCACCAGGCCCCTAGTACAGTTCAGTTGGGTATTCTCCCTCCGTCCCTCCCCCTTCTCAGGACAGCTTTGGGAACAGGCACAGAATTGGTTCCTTGATTTATACAACTTATACCCCTTTAAGCAACTTCATGAAAATCTTCAAATCAATGAATTTACTCTCTTCATTTGCATCTTTAACCAAAGTATAAAAGTTTCTCATATGGTTGGTGGGTCGTTTACCAGTGTGTGTTGCATTTACACTCAAATATGATTTCATGTTGGTGCTATTCATTCACAGATAAAATGCTACTTAAACTTTAATGAGAGGTGATACTGTTGCCTTAATTCAACTGACTACAGATCAAGACAGAGGAATATTTACTCCAGCTGGTTACTAGTTTCCAAACACAAAATAAGTGATAGAATTCCCCCGCCAATTTGAACTTGGCTTTGTTGAGGTTTAAACTTACCGACCTCACAGCTGCAAGCACATTAATAATTCTTCCATCAAGACTGTGTCCATTTGCAACAATGTCACCCAATGAATAATAATCCCGAGACTCTTTAACAGGTAAGCGTATCAAAGAAAGTAACTTGGTGTCCACTTCATAACTGGAACAAACTTTTACTGTTGAGTGATCTTCACTGAGCAGCAGTTTACAGTCACTAAATTGCAAAAACACACACAAAAAGTTACTATCAAATGATTTTTTTAAGTAGAAAAATACTTCCAGGTTCACAGTTAAATTATTTTTTCTTGTAATTTAGACTATATTAAGAAAATTTCTATACTTTTAGAAACATTGAAAAAAATGTAGTAAAATATTTTTTGTCTGAAATATATTTTCATTAAGAAAATGTTTTGAGGACCAATTTGTGCCTGAATGCTAAGCATACCAGTTATCTGGCCTTGCCCAAGACTCTGAGCTTCAGTTTCCTTCTCTGTGAAATAAAGGTATAAAAGCACTCTATACCATGTTCTTTATCTGTATACAGATATCTGTATCTCTAAACACTGACCAACCCGCCTACAGACTTTAAATCAAGGACTGCGCTTCACTTACTTCTGTTGTGCTCTGTATCGAGTAGATGCACAACATTAACAACTGAACTTGAGGTGCTCTTCCCCTTCCAGCCAATCGACTCCCAAGTCCCTTCATGGAGTCAATTTCCAGCCCTCTAATCCAGCCCTTCCTCCCCAACTAGTGCTTTAGGTATTTACCTCATCACTTCTCACCCAAACTATGGCCCTGTCTCCTCCTAAGGTAGGCAAAGTAATCTTCTTAACCCACAAATATTAGTATATTATTTCCCAGCTCAAAGGCTTTCCAGGTAGCCATCACCAAAGAATGAAGTTGTTACAATGGGCAAAGTTGTCTGTGAAATGTTTCTGCTTCTCTCTCAAGCTTTTTCTCCTGCTGCTCCCCTGCCCTTGCCCTATATCAACCGTATCAAACAACTAGCTATGAAACTGACTTTTTTAACCATCAGCTGAGGATATTTTTCCATTGCTTTTCAGAGAGAGTGGAAGGGGGCGAGAGAGAGAAAGAGAGAGAGAGGGAGAGAGAGAGAGAGAGAGAAACATTGATGTGAGAGACACATCGATTGGTTGCCTCCTGCACATGCCCTGGCCAGGGCCCAGGATCAAGCTTGCAACCAAGGTATGGGCCCTTGACTGGAATCGAACCCAAGGCCCTTCACTCCTCGGGCTAATGCTCTAACCACTGAGCCAAACTGGCTAAGGCGAAACTGACATTTTTAGACAAAAAATAGTCACACATCACCATTTCCATATGGTTCAACCTACTATTAACTGTTCTGCAAAATGTCAGGTTTCATGTTTGTTCTCTCTTCCAAGAATGCTCTTCCCCCCACTCATTCATTTATTCATTCATTTCATAAATATTTACTGAGAGCTTATTCTGTGCCAGACCATAGTCTAGGCACAAGGGATATAGTGGTGAAGAAGACAGACAAGACCTTTGATCTCACGGAGTCCACATGGGTGAGAAGGAGACATGACAATTAATCAAATAATCTCAGATAGTGATTGGGGTTTTGATGATAACAAACAGCACAGGGAAAAGTCCTAGTAATGAACTGGAAGGGCTGGTACAGACAGGATAGATGGGAAAGGCCTAAGGAGGAGACATTCAAGTGGACACTTCAAAGAAGAGAAGGAACAAATGAGTCAGGCTGAGAATGGGCTTCACCTGAACCTGCCTCTTTGCTCAGCTTCACCACCTCCTCACACCCCCCAACCCTATCCTTACTGGCTGCTCCTGAGAGCTCACCTTCAACAAATCATTTGCACAAAAACCCTCCTTCTGCTCTGCTTCCAGAGAACCTGAACTAAGATAGTAAGGCATGTGAGTAGAGTTGTACTATGATATGAAAATATACGTATGTGACTTTCAAGATTTATTTTTCTTCTCATTGTTCCACTTTATGTGACTACAGTCAAATTTTTGTACATGTAAGAATGAGAATGAAAGTACTAAAAACAAAGCTATTTTTTCATGTAACCCTATATCGAAGTAAACTGTTTCATAATCAAAATAAACGCTGTGTGCCCTGACCAGTGTGGCTCAGTTGGTTGAAGCGTCGCCCTGTGCACTGAAGGGTCACAGGTTTGGTTCCCAGTCAGAGCACATACCCAGGTTTCGGGTTTGAACCCCCCTCCCCCTGTTGGGGCCGTACAGAGGCAACTGATAGATGTTTCTCTCTCACATCAATGTTTTTCTTTCTCTCTCTCCCTCTCCCTTTCTCTCTCTCTAAAATCAATATTAAAAAAATATTCTCAGGTGAGGGTTAAAAATAATAATAAAATAAACATTGTGAAGAAGAATTAAAGCCCTAATTTTCAAATTGAAGTATACACCTTTAGTAAACTCTCTGCTAACTTGACATGCAAAAATTCATTAGTAATGATCATTACAGCACAAAGCTTGTTGAACTCTGTGCTGGATATTTACCTAGGAGTTGCAGGGCTGAATTTTTCTTCTCTTTCTAATTCCTTTCGTTGGATCAGGGGATTTTCAATTATCACTAAAACAGATGGGAAAGTATGACGCTATTACAAAAAAGTAATAGGATAAGTAAAAAACAACCGTACATAATAATAAACATTATAATGTTATTTCTAATTTCTGAGTTAGTGTTATATATCCTTCCCAATCATTTTCTTGTGTCACTGTGAAAATCAGAATGCTAGAATATGACCATCAGTTTGACCCCAGATGACATTTCTTCTTTTTTTTTTAATCCTCACCTGAGGATATTTTTTTCCATTGCTTTTCAGAGAGAGTAGAAGGGATAAAGAGAGAAAGAAATATCGATGTTTTGAGAGACACATCAATTGGTTGCCTCCCACAAGCTCCCTGACCAGGGTTGAGTCTGCAACTGAGGTACATGCCCTTGGTCAGAATAGATCCCGGGACCCTTCAGTCTGCCGGCTGGCTGACTCTCTAACCACTGAACCAAACCAACTAAGGTCAGATGACATTTCTTACGCCTTGTGTTTAAATCCCAACATATGACCCACATTAATATTACTTTATTGATTAGTTACACTGAACATTTTATTTGATTACAAGATGCCTTTCTATAAACACTTAATTGATCTTCACCCAATTCACAGTTGCTTTTGGAAAATAATAGTGGTGGGATAGAAAGAGCAATGCAAAATCTGAGTCCTGATTTGAGTTCCACAACTTAATAAGTTTATGAATTAACATTTTAGGGTTTGCATTTTCTTATGGTCTATGTTAGACCTTTTTGTGCTCTATTTTGCTAATTACTCACACAATCATTCCCTTTTTACAAATGAAAAAATTGAAGCTCACAAAGGTTAAATAACTTTCTTGAGGTTTTATATCTAGAAAGTAGTAGAGCTAGAATTAGAATTGCTCTGATTCAAAAATCTGTAATCTCGCCTGGCCGGGTGTGGCTCAGCTGCTGAGTGTTGACCTAGAATCCACATGATTGGGGTTGGATTCCCAGTCAGGGCACATGCCCGGGTTGGGCTGGATCCCCAGTCAGCGGCGTGTAGGAGGCAGCCGATCAATGACTCTCTCATCATTGATGTTTATATCTCTCTCTCTCTCCCTCTCCTTTCCTCTCTCTGAAATCAATAAAGATAAATTAAAAAGAGAAAATTTTTTTAAAAGATATATTTTTTTAAAAATCTGTAATCTTTTCACTCTGTATAATCTTTTCACTCAGTGATTAGATTTATAATCACTGTTGACTTTACGCTTTTAAAATCCCTTATCTCGTTCATCCTCACAACCACCATGAACATATAACATATTTTAATACCAAAACATATCTTTAGCTCTATCTATATAACTAATTTTTTGGCATCCATACAAGGAATGTTTCTAACTGTACTGGGCCCTGTGAAGTCTGCAACATTTCCTGCCTTCAAGTCCCTACGTTCGATGACTTTATTGTTCAGTTAGAGAGATATTACATATAACCCTGAAAGTTAATAATACAAGGCAATATGTGATTAGGTGCTAAAAAACTGATATGGGTAATAGACTGCTGCATACTACAGTACTGGAGAGGAGTAGTTTAGTTATCTGCATCACCCTTCCCCTTCTTTTTTCTACCATAAAAGAAAGCTGGTATATGTGCTTTCTTGTTGCTTATATGAAGCTAGATCTGTCATCTATTGAGTGACTAAGTTCTACATTTTATAACAGGCACACTATCTCATTTAACATTCACTAGAATCTATAGGGTATTAATTCATAGTTGAGGTCCAGCAAGATTAAGTGTGAATAAATGTTGGAACTAGGATCTATCTACTTTCAAAGTCCTTGTTCTTTTTGTTACACTGTACTGTCAGAGGGATATGGGGGTGGGGAGAGGATGCAAAAGATTTGGTATTTTAGACTAAAAGTAAAGTTTCTTAAAATCCATTAAAAATTCACCCTGGCCGATGTTCTTGGTGGTTAGAGTGTGGGCCCTCACATCAAAGAGTTGCAGGTTGGATTCCAGACCAAGGGCAGGAACCTGGGTTGCAGGTTCGATCTCCGCCCCCCCACCCCCCAGGGCACCTGTGGGAGGCAACCAATCAGTGCCTCTCTTCCTCTATTCCCCCCCCTCCTCCTCCCTCCCTCCCTCCACTCTCTCTAAAAATCAATGGAAAAAATATCCTTGGGTGAGGATTAATAAAACAAAAAATCTATTAAAAATTCAAATATCATCTTTTATCAAAATCTATTTAGCAGCCCTATTATGTTAAATGATTATAGCAACAATAGGGATTGATATAAACTGAAATATGAAATAAACCAAAGATATAAAGCTACCTAGTAAAAATATGTGACTATCAGTTTTGTATGTTTCAGGTAATAATGCTGATTGCCTTGTATTATGCTTGTAAATCGTGACTTTTTTCTGATAAGGTTCTTGAGAATTATAAATTGTGTCCAACAGTAGTCTCCCTTACCCATGGTTTCAGTTACCTACAGTCAACTGCAGTCTGAAAATGTCAAATGAAAAATTCCAGAAATAAACAATTTGTAAGTTTTAAAATGTGCGCAGTTCGGCATGATGAAATTTCGAGCCATCCCACTCCATCCCTCCTGAGATGTAAATAGTTCCTTCTTCCAGCGTATCCAGGCTATATACGCTCCCCACATATTAGTCACTTACTTAGTGGTGGTCTTGTTTATCAGATCAGTTATCAGATATTTTGAGAGACAGAGACCACATTCACATAAATTTTATTACAGTATATTGTTGTAATTGTTCTATTTTATTATTAGTTATTGTTAATCTTTTACTGTGCCTAATTTATAAATTAAATTTTATCATAGGTCTATGTGTATAGAAAAAAACACTACACACACACACACACACACATATAGTATATATATGGTTTGTTTATTATCTGTAGTTTCAGGCATCCACCTACTTGGGGCCTTGGAACTTACCCCCTGTGTATAAGGGGGACTCCTGTATTGCATTTTGACTACCTCAGTGTAGTTATCACAAACATAACAAAGGAATAATACTATAATAAAAACAATTTAAGAATCAATGCCAACTTACCACACTCGCCAACCCTAAAGCTGTCAGAAAGTGATCTGATGTAATCTTCCTTGCCCCAGGATGTTGCATTTACAAAATGGGTTGGTGAATCACGAATGGTGAAACTGAAAGTGTACCTTTCTGACCCAATATCTAAGGAAAAACCAATGCTTTTATTTTTCAAATGAAATGTTTTGTTATACTTTTGAACAAATATTATGATGATGATAATAACAATACTCAAAGGCATGGTATAAAATATTATTTCAGATATAAATTCTGTAATAAGTTATACTTGCTTTTATGAATTTCAAAGCTGCCAAAGTAATCAACTCACTATTAACCCCTCCGTTCCCTTTCCCCAGTTATATGTATATTTGGAGGGAAATGACACATAGGCTTGAACCATCCAGACATTAGCTTAGATTCTCTATTTCTCTGTTACTGTTACTATTTTAACCTAAGTCAAATTCAGATCAAAATTATTTGAAAACAAATAAATGTGTGCTACTAAATAACACCACTAGAGGTCAGCAAGTACAATTTTCCAAAATAAAATTTCTTTATAGTTTTTGCTAATTAAAAAAGTAACACAACCCAACATACATATACAAATTATAGATATCTACAGAACTGTAATTAGTGTTTACCTTTGGGGCAGGGACTGAGCTGGGAAGAGTTGGGGGTTAAATGAAGATTTTTACCTTTCAACTCTATGACTTTCTGTACTGCTTGAATTTTTAATGAAAGTATATATTTTATATGTTATTTGTATAATGTTTTTTTAAAGCCAATAAGCACATTTTCTCCAAAACAGGAATACTGTACATATAATCATAAAACGTAGTCAAACACTACAGAAGTGGTCCCCTACCCTCACAGTTTGATAGGTGAAAATGGTATTTCATTGTTGTAATTTTAGCTAATATTTAAATATTGACTTTTTAAAACTCATGTATTTTTTCCATTACCATTTACCGCCCCCATATAATTCATGTATTTTAAAGTATCCCTTGTAAAGCTTAGAAAACAGACATTTAAACTTTCTCAAATTATTCAAATGGTACTTCTAATCTAATTCATTATGATGAAGTAAAGTGAAGACACAAACAAGTATGGGTGGGAGATGACATCTTTGTTATTTACCTCAAAATAATAACAGAATATTACATGAAATACAATAAAAATAAAGACACCTATCACTATACCATGAGTCAAATAACACAATCACAATTACTCAGATGATTCAAGCAAAATTAATATCTTCTTCCAAAATTATTGGCTGGCTGACTAGAGCTCTGATTCCCTTAAGCTGTATAGCAGCACTTACACTGCAACCTTTAATAAGCACCATTGATACTTTTAAAGCTAATCGTAATGAGTTGCTAGATTTGGCATTCTATATTGTATCTGTGCACATTAACTACAAAAGTTTGAAGGTGAGTCAATTTTAAAAATCCAATTTTAGTCTTGGATTATGTTTCCATAGTCCTAACACTCTTGCACAATTCAAGCAACTCAATAAAAACCACTGAAGCCAAAGTTAACTATATTTTCCACAAATGAAAGATAAAATGTTTTCACTAAATTGTCTGGTTGTTTGAGTAAATATGTAGCTACTATTGCCATACTTCCTCCTTCAGCACTACTCTATCATGACATATCCCTGCTCCAAAACCATCTTTCTTATCACTTTCTGTCTTATTTGAGATACACCTGTGTACCTGTATCTCTTAGGCTGAAAGTGATAGTCAACATGGAGTTCTTACTACAGGTCACACACCCTTACATTTAATTCTCACACCAGCTCTATTTATCCCAATTTCACAGTTGTACATAGGACAAATTTCAGATCACTCAGTGACTAAGTGAGCTCAGAAAATCTAGCTGTAAGTCCATACTCTCAGACACTATGATATCTGAAGATAATATGAGACTACAATTGCCCTCTGTTACCTTTATGCAGGGCTTAACACAGTAGAGGTACTTAATGAATACACATTGATACACATTAATGAGTTGACAAATTTAACTAGCTATTTTGGCATTGAATATACAAACTTTTAAAATTATGTTTGAGGAACATCAAATAAAATCATTAAAAACTATTTTAATGTCCTCACACACATAGCCTTAAATTGAGTACCATACAATAGAGAGCATGGCCACTGCTCTTAAGGAGTTAAACAGGCATGAGAAATTTAATTACTAAGTACACTTTGTTGTAGTCATAAGCCACAGTTGATGAAAAATTAAGCAAATTGTTAAACAGGACTCAGCTTTTTCTGTCTGGAAAGCCTTTGACATCTGTTTTCCCAATAACTATGCCGATTATTTTCTGAAAAACAAAAAGGTTATAGAAGACAAATATCAAACACAGATGTAGATGGTAAATTTAATTTCATGGACTTGTATTTTACTGGCTCTAACAAACATTTTTGACTAGGAACCATTTAAATGTATTTATTCCAGACAAACATCTAAAAGAACTTCATAAATGTTCAATTCCACAGGGAATAGTACGAAGTAATAAGATAGTTAACTGCTATTACAAATGTAATCATTTAATACTTAGTATGTTTCTACTTTATTTTCAATCACTAGGTGGAGCACAATAACCACCCTATGCTATCAATCCTTACTGAATTCATTCAAAGCACATGTATAATGCAATTTAATTTGCCACAGTCTTCAAAGGTTTCTTTTATATAGGGTTTTCTAACAATCCACATAAAATTGTTTAGCTTCTTAATCCAAACATGCTGAACAGTAATATAAATTAGATTGCAACAGAACTTGTATATTACTGCTAATAAATCTGAGCTCTAAAGTCTTAGATCTTAAACCTTAAAGATATTAACATCTTCTTAAAATTTTTAATGTTCTCTTTAGTGACTACCAAAGAAAAATTAAACATTAAAAAGTGCTTTGAGAAATAAAAATAATTACCTTTTTCTGAAAGGATAAACCTAAATTTATATTATTAATCTAGCAACAGATTTTAACCTTATAATAACCTACCACATTTAAAATACATTCAAGCTTTTAAGACTGTCATATCCTATTTGAGCTATCCTTATGCTTTCAGATCTCACTGAGTTTTGTTGGAAAAACACAACTAATGGGAATATTGAGTAAAACTTTCTGATTGAAAAGGCAATTAGCAAATAGTTTAACATTCAAGAAAAACTATAACAGCAATAATTATTTTTAACAATAAGCTTTTAATCATAAACTATTAAAGTTACATGTAAATTTATCCTATTTTAAGAAATCAGATTTGTAAATGCCAAATGTAAATGGCAGACTGCTTAGGAGCAAGGAAGGTAAGAGACTATGATAATTGCATTACAATAAGTTCACCTTATAAAATGATTCTACCTAGATTTCTTTTCAATAAATAAGAGTCTTGTTATATTTGAAATGATTGAATTCTGCCCAGCTGGCGTGGCTCAGCAGTTGAGCATCGACCTATAATCCAGGGATCGCAGTTCGATTCCTGGTCAGGGCACATGCCTGGGTTGCGGGCTCAATCCCCAGTAGGGGGTGTGCAGGAGGCAGCCAAACAATGACTGTCATCATTGATGTTTCTATGTATCTCTCGAAATCAATAAAGACATGTTTTTTAAAAAAGATTGAATTCTCCCACAACCCCTCCCCAAAATGAATGTTCACATAATCATTTCAGAAATACACCTGTTGTGTATCTTTATGTCATAAAAGCAGCATAATGGCAAGTATTTAAGTCTTTAACTTGGATAATTTGATTAAAAAATAGATACTGCTGAACAAAAATATTTTAATTTTACAATGATAAATTTGAGTGATTATTATTTAATTAAAATAATACAAATAAATTTTGGATCATCTTGAACTAGTCATAGATACAATCTCCTATTCTTTAGGAGAGAGACTAGTTTTCATTTAACTGGCATAAATACAAAGACATTTAGGGGTACTTAATATAAAGCAATTATACAAGTGCAATGAGTACCTATATACTTGTCAATTATCATGCATGTGTCAAAAGAATCAATGTTAACATAGTGTAATATTACCAAAGAAAATTTCATTATAGAACAACCAAACCACTATATCATTGAAGCCTACCAGATTAGCCATATTTGGATGCAGATCTGAAAGTGTAGTGAAGTTCTTCGATGCAAAGAAGTTTGCCATTCTTTTATCTGCATTTTAGAAAACACAATTTAGGTGCACAAATTAAATGAATGAAATAAACCATAAACAATTCCAAGATTCGAAAAAGAATTTATTTAGAGAAGCACGGACAGTTTACTCACTCTTTGGGAAAAGGTTTTATTACAACAGTGAAATGTAAGTTAATACAGATTCAACCTGTAAAAAACGTTTCAAAATGTCCTTTTATAGTTTTGAATGATATAGGTTAGGCTTCAATTTTTAAACTCACTTTCCAAAAAATATATAATTCACAATTTTTGAGCACAATGCAAATGCAGAGTTTCAGATGAGAGATGACTGAATGGGACATTTGTGGATTTAAATATTAGCATAAAGCCCACTTTGAAAAATACAGCAAAACTCTATTGTAAATACCTCAATCATGCATTTGATTACACTGTGTGGGCATAGGTAGCGACTTTAACCTCACCTCCAGATGGTAAGCACCATGAGGGCAGAGGTGGCATCTAACATATTTTATGTGTGTATTTCAATGCTATGTTGCACATAAAAAGCACTCAATAAATATCAAAAAAATGAAATGGTGGCTTGTCTCTTGGTGTTATCACTATAAAAGGTTTTAGTATAGTAACAATTGTCAACTACACCAAACTAGCAGATTTACTCAGCTTCACTTCCTGATACATGGCCTCTTTAACTGTGAATGCTCTCTCACCCACAGGCTTCACTTTCAGGACATGCCCATAACACGAGTGTCAGGGAGCCTGTGAAATTAGTCAAATATGATTTTGAATTCCAGTGCCACTAGTTTGTAGTCAAGTGTTTTGACATTACTGAGCTTTAATTTCCTCTCCATAAAATGTGGATTATATCTGCCCTACAGGGTTGGTCAAAGAATTATAAATAATGGACATAAAATGCCTAGAAGTTCACAGACTCTCAACAGATAAGAATACTGCTTTTCATTCTTATCCAATGTAACAATTTCTGTATTCAGGCCTTTGATTGCCAGAAAAAACAACCGGGAAATTAAGCAGTGTTAAGTTTCCCACTCATTCTTTGGTGTGGTCTAATCTGACTCATTATGCAATTTCAGTCTCTGAAATACTTGCCAAACCTTGACAGATTCATTCATTCATTCATCCATCTACTCAACAAGCATTTACTGAGAGTCTGTGAAGTGCCAGACACTTCATCTTGGAGAGGATGAACTATTCAGTACCTGGATTATTGTAAAAACACTATCCACCTACATACTAAATGAGTTCTCCAATTTTTACCCCTTAGCACATTACTGGTTTGGTCATTGACTTATGTGACATCATATGAACTCTTTGAAGGTCCTCCAATTTCTACTATTATTCAAAATATATGGTGATACACTTCAGTGTCTGTCTACCAAAAAAATTTTTTTTAAATGAGCCCTAGTCTGTTTGGCTCAGTGGTTAGAGAATGGGCCTGAGGATTGAAGGGTCCCAGGTTTGATTCTGGCCAACAGCGTGTTCCTCCACTGGGGGCTCGATCCCCAGCCCCCACCGGTGCTCCTGCAGGAAGCAACCAATTGATTCCTCTCTCTCACATCGATATTTCTCTCTCTCCCCTTTCCACTCTCTCTGAAAAGCAATGGAAAAAATATCCTCAAGTGAGGATTTAAAAAAAAGGTTTTTTTAATGACAACTTGCTTCTCTACCTGGACATTTTGAGAAACACAAAGTTAACATGAAATAAAGAGCTTACTATCGTGATCCAGAGATTACACCATTCATTAGCAACTACTGTCCCTTCTACTTTCTAAAGATATTTTAAATGTCTCTTCTCCATCTCCAGTGCCATCTCCTCAGCCCAAGACTCAGTCATTTCTCACCTAGAGTACTGTAATCATTTGGTTTATACCTATTTTACTCATTCAACACATGTGGGTTGAGTGTCTGGTATGTATCAGGCCCTGAATCAGGACAGAGTAGGTCTGGGGCTGGTCTCCCATCCAGGAGCCTCAGAGAGGAGCAATGAAAACAGAGAGCTAGATGTGGGACCAGATGTGTATGATCTCAAGGCCACTGATCCAGAGGTGGAGGGAAAGAGGAGGTGGCATCAGAACTAGTCCAGTTATTGTAATATGGCGGCAATATCACAGATAATAGCTTTAGAGTATCTGTTATGAGGCTGGCCCTACACTACAGACACTAGATAAACCATGATGATCTCTGACAGTCCCCACCCCCCAGGTCTCCCAAATTCCCCTTCGTGATATCTAAGCCCTCCTTCCACTTTTGAAACCTTGTGTGTGGCCCAGAGCCCAGCCTGACCTGGCCTGTTCCTCCCATGACCTTCCTGGTCCCTTATTTTAGGTTTCATGAAGGTATAACAAGGCCAGAGCCTTTGTGCTCCTCCTTACTGGAGCTTTCCTCCACAGGAGAAAGTTGCATTACTTAGTCCTAACTCCCACTGGGGTTCTGGCACAGGATAAAGGGACTCTGGACCCACAGGGTAGCCAGGAGCTAACAGTGTTCCTAAGAAGTCTCTGGTGCACAGGTCAGCAGAGGTTGTCAGTCAGACCCTTAGGGCAAAGCCCACCAATTTTCCTGTTTTGAGGCCATGGTCTCAAATTCTGAGCAGACCAGAGTTAGTCAGTTTGAGGCTTGGGCCTATGGTGAAGGAGTTGTGAGCAGAGGGGTGGAGGGGGCCCTTGCCATAAACTTTGCTGACTTTTTTCCCAGGGCCAGGAAGGGGTGTATGTGTTTATGCCTCTTGTTTGTGATTTCCATTCCAATCAATGCAACAGTTATTCATGAAGACCTATGTGCCAGGTGCTGTGCTGGTGCCCCAGAGCTACCTGACTCTGCCATCAGAAAATTCCATTGCCATCTACTCTGTCATCATTGACACTTCCTTTCCTTGACTGCCCAGATACAAAACAACCCTCACCAAGTCCTGCTAATTCTCCCTCCTAATTATCTCTTGAATCTGATCACTTCCCCCCCCCCCATCTCCCTGTC